GGTGTGGTGGCGTGTACCTGTCATCCCAGCGACTCGGACTGAGGTGGGAGGATTGCTTGAGCCCAGCAGATCGAGGCTGCAGTGAGCCATGATACTGCCACTGCACTCCAGCCTGGGTGACAAAGCAAGACCCTGTCTTAAAAAAAAAAAAAAAGAAGGCAGCCAGGACTTGATGCCAGGCTGACTTGGCTCCAAAACCTGCCCTCTCCTTGCTGGTCAGTCATGGCCGTCAGGACAGGCAGCATTGAGGCCAGTATAAGGCAGCTACGCAGGGCTGCCATGAAGCCCAGGAGAGAAGAGGATGTGTGTGAAGTGCTCAACATGGTGGATTCTGGGGGTGACAGGCAGGCTGACCCGAGGCCCCGGGAGGGAGAACTGATCCCACAACCTTGTGAAACAAGGGAGGACCTTATTGCTGTGCTTGCCTGATTACCCTGGGAAGGAGGGACCAAGGGACCAGCCAGAGGCCAGTGGGAGAGGAACCATCAGGGTTTCCCCAGAAGTTATCCCAGTGGGTCCACCTGTGACCCTTGTACTCTGAGGTCACCTGAGCCTTAGAGGTGAGGCACCTGCCCCTACTTGTGCCAAGTGTTGCACAGAGAAGGAGAGGAGGTTCTTGGCCCAAGGATTCCAGACCAGTGGCCAGCCTTGTGGCCATGCGATCTGAGCACCGGGCTGCCTGCTGCTCTGCTCACGGGAGCCCCACCCCGGCCTCTGAGGAAGGGAACGCAAGACCAGACATACAAGGGAGAAGCTAAAGCAGAACTCAAGGGATGGAAGGCTACTAATAGTTGTGTTTTCAAAGAACATTTAATCAGAGGAACTTTCAAAATGTTTCATACATTGAATAGATCCGATCACCAAGCAGTGCATAGAATAGGATCCTAACTTTGTAAAATATCTATATGTCATATATAAAGACAAATGTGTATGTGCCAAGAAAAAAGACTGGAGAAGGAATTATGAACAGTGGTTATCTCTGTGATTGATTTTGGGTGGTTGTATTCTGGATTTTGTTATTTTCAAAATTTTCCCCAGCACACAGATAACATTTTCTTATGTGAGAAAAAACATTTTTAAAAAAGCAGGGGATAGAGAGCGGCAACTGTTTGCTGAAGACTTCTCAGTAAGGAAAGGAACCTGGGGTAGAAAGCTCCCTTTTCAGCTGCCCATGAGGGCACAGGTGGGCCCCACACTCAGTACGGGGCCAGGTCAGGGCCACAACACCTGCCACTTCCTCAGCGGAGACCCTAGCGCAGGTCACTGTCGGCCCAGACTCCTTCCACAAGCAGGCGAGGGTGCAGGGCCACACCTCATCGAAGAGATGACCACGTTTAGATTTTTTGAAGAAAAGCACAGCTCTCAGGTAAATACAGCAGCACCTCCAAGCACATTCTGGGAGGAGTGGGTTTTATGAGGAAGGCACACAAGGCAGGCCCAAATTTGCAAGTCCCTTTAAAATGAGCCTGCTCAGAAGTGCTGTTTATTCCACAGGTCTGCGCAGGCATGGCACTAAGGGTCCCGTGGCACATTTGGCCCTCATGGAGGCCTCAAAAGGGCAGGACTAGCACCCTCGTCTACAGAGTGTGAGGAAGGAGCAGGCGCAGCAGGTACATGATGTGGTCAAATTAAGAAGAGGCAGAGGCCAGGTGCAGTGGCTCATGCCTGTAATCCTCGCACTTTGGGAGACTAAGGCAGGAGGATTGCTTGAGCTCAGGAGTTCAAGACTGGCCTGGGCAAAGTTAAAGACTGGCCTGGGCAACATAGTGAGACCTGGTTTCTGCAAAAAATATAAAAATTAACTGGGTGTGGTGGCGTGTACCTGTCATCCCAGCGACTCGGACTGAGGTGGGAGGATTGCTTGAGCCCAGCAGATCGAGGCTGCAGTGAGCCATGATACTGCCACTGCACTCCAGCCTGGGTGACAAAGCAAGACCCTGTCTTAAAAAAAAAAAAAAAGAAGGCAGCCAGGACTTGATGCCAGGCTGACTTGGCTCCAAAACCTGCCCTCTCCTTTTCACAGCCTCCTTTCCTGTGAAGTAATAGGGAATTTATCTAAAGCACATCGCCCAGGTCCCTATGTAAAGACAAAGAAACAGGACTTTGTGTGCTCACCTGGCATTAGGGCCAGCACTGTGCTGCAGTTGTGAAGATGGCCACTGGTTTGGGGGGTTGTTCTGCACCGAATGGCCCAGACTCCCTGTCAGTGGCTATTTGTTGCAGCCTGTGGGCCTGAGTTGACCACCCTTATTTATGCTCCTGATCTGCAGCCTTGAATGCATCCTTGGCTGTGGTAGGCAACCAGGCCAGAAGACGACCTTGGTAGCTGAGCATTGACCCCTCATCAGCTGTGTGTCCATACGACCTCCTCCCTTTCTGAGGCCTTCTCTATGTGATGTCATTTGGTGGCTGTCTGGGTGGCTGAAGTTACTAGAAGTCTGGCCACCAGGAAGGCCATGACTGTCATACTTTGTGCTTTGCTGCATAAAATGGAAAAATTGGTATTATCAATGATCCTCACGGCTGCTCTGCAACACCTGATGGGCATGGCACATTTGGTGTCTTGAAAAATTCATTTCACAAACTCCTAGCCACCCAAACCATGCCAGGTTACACACTGGCCACTGAAGAGACAACACATTTCAGTTTCATTTTCTTTTTTTTTTTTTTTTTTGAGACAGAGTCTTGCTCTGTTGCCCAGGCTGGAGTGCAGTGGCCATGATCCTCGGCTCACTGCAAAGCTCCTGGGTTCCATGCTATTCTCCTGCCTCGCCTCACCGAGTACTGGGACTACGGCCA